CACTCCATACCAACTATTATTTATTCATTGAATTTTATCTAAGGTCATTAGCAGTGTATTCAAAATACAGCAATGGGGTGGGGATGTGGGGAGAAGCCAAATATAGCATTATGCTAAAGTATTATGGCAAAAAGGGTAAAAATGAATTAATGACTAGGATAAGTGGACAAAAGAAGGGGATGAAGAAGAGAAGGAAAATGAAAGGGAGAGAATAACAGACCATGCAAAATTTATTGAGGCAAGGACTGAGGTCAAGGGCAGGGGTGATCCCCTACACTGTGCCTCAGTCTCGCCTCTTAATTCACCCCACGACCGCACGTGCTAAGATATCCCTAGAATACTGGAACTATGAACACTATGCTTGAAATAAATGATCAGGAGTTGAGCAAACACACACCTTCCAGTAAAGCACAAAGAAAAATCATCTATAAAATCATCTTTTACAGAAAAAAATCATGTTAGCAATTTGTAAGCTCAGAAGGGAGACATGTATACCACTGGTTAACCCATTCGCCACAAGTGGCAAGAATAGATGCCATGCCTACTTTGATACACGTTTATTTATTGTATTTACACATAGATGGCTCCTCAAGTTCTTAATCACCAAATAGCCGATTACCAAGAACTACCTATTTTACCTGTTTACCCTTTTCCTTCACTTTAGGAAAGGGTTTTCTGTATCATTCCATTGTCTAAAAAAATATAATGACAATTTAATAATCATAACATCAATAACAATAATAACAGTATCAATAGCAATGGCATTAATTTGCCCGCCAATTCAATGAATGGGAAAATCAGGATAGACTCCTTGCCGGCTGAGCACATGGGGAGCCATCTCTACGTAAGAAAATTCACCAAAAACTACAGGGGACAGAACATAAATTTGGGGCGAATGGGTTAAAAATATTCTACTCCCAAATTGTATAGCCCGTATTTGTCTGCCTTGAACATCACTTTTTGGGAATGCCCACAGATCAGGCCTGCTTGTTTGGACATATTTTATGTAACTGGGTTCCTGCATACTTTATAGGTAAGCTATACAGAGGTTTTGCTTATTTTGTGATGTGTATTTAAGTTCGATATCATAACTAAAATGTTGCTCTTTAGAATTCAAAGCCGGGATTACTCAACTCACAAGTTCGGTATATATATTTTATTTCACACAATTGCCACAAAACATTCAAATATTCTATGCATCGTTGACAGTACTGCAAATCAGTCACTTGAGTGGTTAAGGATCTTTCTCAGTAAAACACCAGTAACCTACGATATTTTTATTAACATATCAGTGTTGACATTCTCTTGTACAAATAAGCCTTTTTACAGTAGGGAAGGTAGAAAATCTGTTGTAGATTTAGTTGAGAGGATCAATCTTGGGATCTGAAAAATAAAAATAAAAGATACATTATTTTTGTTAAAGCCTACTGCTCTGTACTGTTATTTTATCAAAGTAATTAGGACCAGCCGAAAGCAAAGAAAGACAGAAAAGAGAAGAAAAGAATGAAGAAAAAACTACAGAAGCCATCAACATATATTACCCTGGAAGGTGAAGGTAGGGAACTTGGTCATGTCAACGCCTGGACCACCACCATACTGACGGGCAACTTTGTCCAGCTCCTGCTGCAGCTGCCTTTCTACCTCGGGGGTCATATCCACCAGCTTGCCACCTGAAGCCCTATAATATTCAAAGATTAAGTAACATATAAAAGCGAAGTTTAACTTGGCCAAATAGCAAATGTACATCTGATGCCCAAGGTACATATAACCATGTAGCTACTCATCCATTTAGCCTAGTGAACCAAAAAATCAAACTGACAGCTGTTAATGGTAAGGAAATCTTTATGGTCACATAAATAAATGGAGGGGGGGAGATTTAGGTTTTACTTCTGGTAATTATAACAACATTGAGTAACTTATACAAATAATTGTGGGTCTGGCTATATCTGATATCTTACAGTGCACTCTCATGGCTAAATGGTGATATCATTAGCTCTGGCCCCCTTTGGACCTTAACAATTTGTGAGATGCTTTATGGTATGCTTTATGTCATTTCAGTGCATTTCATTTGGAAACTGTTCAATAACAATGGTAGAAAAGGAAAAGAAAAGAATAAAGGTGATGAGGCACGGTTTGCTACTTGTGTAAAGATACACTGCTTATGCTTCTTAAACTTTCCTAGAATTCTGCTTGGTCTAAACATTTCTTTGGGTCTGATTGACCCATATCTGCCGTGCCCCACCTATAGCCATCATAACAAAGCAACTTATCATGCTAGGTACAACTACAGACATCCCGATCTTGCTAAAGCAAGCTGAGCAAAAAGTTCCACTACATGTAGCAGAGTCCCGGGCCAAACAGCAGGATGGCTGCCAGAAGTCCCCGGAGACAGTGAGGTCTGAGACCATCAACTGAGGGGTTAAATAATTTTGTGTCTGACTTAAAAGACTACAATGATGTAATTCTGAAACATTTGTGAGGGGAATCAGAGGCTAAAATACAGCCCAAGGCAATGTGATAGGAGTCTGCCTTGACTTACTTGCTCTTCTTGCTGTACTCCTGGATTTTGTCAACAAACAGCTGCTGGATGGGATCAGATGTCTTCAGCAACACTGAAGAAGCACCAAGGTTGCGGCGCAGAACGACCTGCAGGGTCCTAACCTTGGGGATCAGCCGAGTTACGTTCATGCTGTAAAAGTAATTTACATTTTGTAGTAATTGCCAGATAGGTTATTTGCTTACCAATAATAATATTCATTAAAAAATTGATAAAAGGTGCGAAGATGTTCTTCATGCAAAAGAAAACCAAAGCACTTCCTGCCCTTCAACTTAACCCCTTGTTGCCGGGTAACGCCGATCAGCGAGCAAACAAACCGCTTGAAAGCTGGCGTGCGGCTGTACACCACGGCGGCGAGCCAGTGATTAGGGCTGATGTCCCCTACTTGCGCTCAAAGTCGGTGCACCGCCTTTCTTTGCTAGAGCGTAGGGTTTTTTTTTTTTTTTTTTTTTTTTTTTTTTTTTTTTTTTTTTTTTTTTTTTTTTTTTTTTTTGTACACACGGCGTCATTGAGTTAAGTGGTTTGGTAGTAATTTATTTATTTAATTTTTTGAGCAGTTAGAAGATTGAAAAAAATAAAAATAAAAATGAGAAATTTGAGTGAATGCAAGTTTGCATTCTTGAGCACTAATATAAATCTGTAGATGGTAAGGTCACACTCCACTCTTGCACACACTGAGATACATTCTTGTCATTAAACGCAAATCAGTTGGCTTCTGCAAATTTATGGTATTCATTAATGAGTGTGTCATACCCTCCTGAACTTACAAAAAATGTGACATTAATAACTCTTGCTGTGTGAGGGTGTTGTTGACTTACTCTCTGAGCAGTGATATGCAATTGATATTTTCATAATTTCACTATAAATATGAGGCCATAGCAGCTGTACCCATGTTGTTTATGAGTTAGACTATGTCTCAGGTGGACACAACACTAGACAGAGATAAACCGCAGTCCATGTTCGTGGAAAAGTTGAAATCTGTCAATGCTCCAGGTACCAAGAACTTTGTCTGGTACAAAAAAGACAATGTCCCCACCCGCTATGGGTTTAGAGATTCTGGTGTGAAGGTGATGGACATTTTCACGACTGATTTTAACGATTTTCTTGTGCTATTTCATGCATTATATTTATTATATTTAAGCCTGTTTTTCCCTCATATACTTCATGCCCATTCCTACTATCAGACCTTAACAAATCATGCTTGTTGGCTGAATATGGATTTCCGCCAACCAAAAATGGTATACAACTACAGTGTACCTGTAATCGCAAACATGAAATACATTTTGAGAAAGAATTACCAGCGTTTTTGCGCTTGTTTTACACATTTCTGCTCTTTATTTGGCTTATTACTATCTGTTTTACCCCGTAATTTCCCTGATCTATTTCATGCCCTCCCCTGCTATTGGGACTTATCAAAACATCAAGATATAAATATTGTCAGGGAAGACCTGATTGTCATTTTGGGAAAATTAACCGGAAATGAAGGGCCCCATCACCTGTCTTCTCTGTCCTGTATCTCCCTTATTTTAGATTTGCGCACCTTTTACCATAGATAAAAAGTGGGAAAATATATATAAATATGTATTTCAGAGTAGCAAAAAATGAATACCGAGAGCATGAAAAGCAAACCAATACGATTATATAAATATAAGTAAAACTGAGCGATCACCTCTGGTAACGGAAATATCGAAGGTAGAAAATACGATCTTGTTTGTTTTTTTTCCAAGTCCACAAACATCAACAACAACAGCACGTGCATTCGTGTGTGCATGTGTAAACAGTAGTATGCCATCTATACATATTTATCAATGATACAATATTCCTATATAATATTCCTATAACCTTTGTACACTATAATACACATTTCATCCATTTTATCCATATAATTTTTAGTTTCCTATCACAATGCTAAACATATTATGTATCTACATGGCGTGATTTTTTTTCCGGACACGTATTTGCCAGGGGTGTGGCCGTATGGCCCAGCGGTCTATTTGACACTTCTGTGAAACATGGCCTCGGTGAAGGACGATCAAAGCTGTGCTAAAAAATCTTGTCTAGATTGTGACACTGGCCTTCTCAATTACTCATACAAAGTAAAAGGAAATCCAGATTTTGGTTTTGAATCTCTGGTCCATCACGGTGTACTGAACGATACACTGCAGTACAAAAAGTATAGTGAACCGTGCCGGCTTTACCGGGATTTAAAGATTTTTAAGTGCCAGAAACTTGTCAGTGTCAACAAAAAGAAACCGAAAAGGTGTAACTTCCAACAATCGATTTACAAAAATACGTGGCTACAAAATAGCCATTTAGACATAGAATCTAATTTGGTATTTGTTAATATATATTTACAAGACTGTTTTACCTATCAATTTGTGAAAGACGAAATCATACGTATAAGCGATAAAACTATCTGCGACTGGTCCTCCTTTTGCAGAGATGTATTACTTTTTTGGTGTAAAAGTAGTGGAAAGGAAAAAATTGGTGGACCCGGCAAAACAGTCGAAATAGACGAGTCAAAATTTGGCAAAAGGAAACATAAAAGGATTATTGATGGTCAGTGGGTGTTTGGCGGCCTGTGTCGGGAAACGAAAGAGTATTTTGCAGTGCAAGTAGAGAAACGGGACTCACAAACACTACTGCAAATCATTAAAGAAAAAATCCATGAACAGTCACTAATTATAAGCAATTGCTGGAAAGCTTATGACTGCCTAAAGGACGAAGGGTTCAAACTTTTAAAAGTGAATCACAAATATAACCTTGTTGACTCCGACACCGGTGCCCACACGAATACCGTTGAGCGGAACTGGAGGACCTTAAAGGAAAAGGTGCCACAGTACGGGAGGAGATCATACCATTTTGAGGGCTACCTGGCCAAAGCGACTTTTTGGTGCTATTTCATGCATTATTGCATTATATTTATTATACTTAAGCCTGTTTTACCCCATAATTTCCCTGATAAACTTCATGCCCTCCCCTACTATCGGGACTTAACAAATCAAGCTTGTTAGCTGAATATGGATTTCCGACAACCAAATGTGGTATACAACTATAGTGGGAAAACTTTCCGCGCATGTCAACCAATCGTACAGTAAAATAAGTGTATGGAATGGATACCTTGACGAAAAGTAAGACACTTTTCATCTATGGCAACAACTGCGCAAATCTAAAATAAGGGAGATATAGGACAGAGAAGAGAGAAACTCGACCCTTCATTTTCTAAGTCCCCTTCCATGTTTACCTTGCGAGATCAAAACAATTGTGACGCGTAACTCATTACTGCGAACCAGCAAGTAGTCCATGTATTGCTACGCGCTTGTGAGAACGCTTATTTTGTCATTACTAGCGTCTGATTCTCTGAATTCATGTATGTAATGCATTCTTCTAGTTTTATTATACTTCTCTTGCGTCTTTTGGTAATTATTTACGTTATTCTATACAACAACCTTTTGCGCATGCGCGTTTTCACCGGGAGATTTGACAGGTCGACCCACCGCCATTCGCTCAGAAATACCGGTGAAAAATGTTTCATTTCAAGTGCTGTGTCGACATCGGGTTATTTTTAAAACTATATTGTGGATATACAGGACAAATAGACATTCTCAGTCATAAGCCTGATATTTGAGCCCAACAAGTGCCCCAAATGCCAAAAAAAGTGATTAGAAACCAAGCAATTCTGACCATAGACGGAAGCGCAGAAAAGTTCGGTTTTTCGCTTTATAAAGGCATGTGGTATATTACTACGGGGGTCCAGGGGGCATAGCCCCCTGGCTAGGCGCATTTAATACCATGGGGGTCCAGGGGGCAGAGCCCCCTGCCTAGGGAATGTATAGATCGTAGTGTATAAATCCCACAGGGTTAGGCTAGGCTAGGCTAGGCTAGGCTAGGCTAGGCTAGGTTAGGTTAGGTTGGTTTATTGGTTATGGACGCATTGTACGATTATCACAGGGGATCTGGATTATGTGAAATCCCGTAGATTTTTACCGAACGGTGGGTTTGGTTCCCGTAGAGTTTTTCGGAATTTGGCGTGCCGGTCCGTAGACTTTGAAAGATGGCAGCGATGTCCGTAGACTTTCATGATCCGATTTTAAGTGTTTTTTGTGCTTGTTTTACACATTTCTGCTCTCTATTTTGCTTATTTCAGCCTGTTTTACCCCGTAATTTCCCTGATCTACTTCATGCCCTCCCCTGCTATCGGGACTTATGAAAACACATCAAGATTGTCGGCTGCAGAATCCGACGGAGAATATCATCAGATTCGTTCTCATCACACGAGAACAAATCTGATGATATAAACATTGTCAGGGAAGACCCAGTTGTCATTTTTGGAAAATTAACCCTATAGTGTACCTATACTCGTCACCGATTATCGTCAAATAAACAGGATAACGCGAAATACATTTTTGGAAAGAATCACCAAAAAGTGTCATAGTTTTCGTCAAAGTAACCATTCCATACACTTATTTTACTGTACTCTTGGTTGACGTGTTCGGAAAGTTTTCCTAAAGTTGGAATAATCATTCCGATTAAACCCCCCCAAAAAAACATAGCGATAGGTGGAAATAAAAATTAACCGTATCCTCCTATCCACGGAAATAGGACATGGTGGACTCACACTACCATTAATAAAGAAAAAAGGCCCAAAATATAGAATAAAAAGCCTAAAATTAGAACGTAAATAGCGAGTCCTTCCGTGATCAGCTGATCCCAAATTTCGCCGACGGCCTACAACTAAAACCTAATAAAACCCCCTTAAAACATAACCACAAACCAAAACCTATAAACTAAACCGAATCGACGTGTCATCCATTGCATATCCTAGCTAATTAAGTTGCAAATAAGGCTTATAATTACCTGAATATATATTTTAAAGAAGAGCCGAGTGGTTGTCTGCCTGTGCCGGTGGAGTGTCGACTGCCGCGCCCTCGGAGGCTCGGCGG